CAACACCTCGCGTGACCACTTTGGCTGATTAAACTGTCAAATACTTCTCTTTGTTCTGGAACTTCAAATATCATTAGTGCCTTCATTGTCAATCTCACTTGGTTTCCATGTGGATAATGCATAGAGTATCCTTCCCTTCCATCCCAACACAAGGAATTGGTCTTCTTCGTCCACAAAAACCTCTTTGTGATAAATCTGTCTCACAATATGTTGTATTCCATTAACAATGGTTGGATTCAGTGGAAGCTGCTCAAACCTGGCCCTGAGGCCTCTTACCTTCCATATCTTATAACTCTCGGGCCTCTCAATCCGTTCCGATCCTTCACATGCAATGGCATTGAGAATTTCATATTTATATATATCCCTCTCTAGGATCAATCTTGTCTCGTTATCTCGTGGAGTTGTTTTATCAAGCATATCAAACAGTGAAGTATAGCGGTACATGACTTCTTTAAACCGTGATAAAAAGAAGGGGGTGTTGTAAGATCCATTAACAACTCCATGGATGAAGATGTTTGGCTTCATCATCCTTATGTTATTGAGCACCCTATTTCTGGCGCTATTGATGGATGTTGTCTCATCACCAAGATTCTTCATTCGGTGTATGCAGTTGACTACGAGCAATTCATCTTTGTCAATGTTAAAGTCTTTGATGGTGATGGATTCCCATTTTGATGAGATCTGCCGGTATTCAAAAGGTACTTTGAACATGTCAGCATATTCAATTAATCGTAGCCGTGTGTTGTTATTGATTTCATCTGGCCGGAAACCTGGCGTTGGTAGCTCTATGCCTGTAATCCGAAGCTTAGGTGGGCCACCATCTCTATCTGCAAACTGTTTGAATAATGATGGCCATTGAAAACCAAAGCAAATGCCAAAATCGATAATGTGCACTTTTGGCTTTCCCTTTGAGACATCAATGATAGTTTTGTTCGAGAAGTAATATGATGATCTCAAGTAAGGAGATACTGTCAAACCAAGATGGAAGAGCTTTAGAATATATGCTGCATTCCTTGGTGTAGCAATGAAGTTCTGGTTTATCTGACTCCCATTTCCAGACAATCTTATCTCCAGGCATTCTGCTAGGTAAATCGCTAGCCTTTGGGTATCATCCCCACTTGGTGAAGAATGTTGTCTTATGGTTTTAAGTATGTCACTTGCTAAGCTATGGTTGTTCACAGATACTGCTTCTGCACAATGGATAAGGAGAGTTCTGAGATCCACCACCTCTTTCTTCTTCCATGTTTTACCTCTGGTAGTTTGCCTAGCCAATTTTTTCCCTTGCTCTTTCTGTGCATACTTGGTGGATGTATTCGCCATGGTCCGCTGCAGAATACCTTCATCTACGACGAGTTGATTCTCACAGCAAAGTAGAACCTTGTCAAATGCCTCATTTCGGATCGGCTCATCAGAAAAAATAGCAGTCTGCTTGCTTCTCCTTCCTTCTAACAAATCAAGATCTTCTTTATCTGGGAAAACTTTTCGGCCTCGAACTTCAAATGATGCATCCTTGATTGTCTCCTTCTCATTCATATGAGGTGAATGATTATCTCGGCTAGGTTTTTCTGCAATGGACAGGCCATTGATGTTCAAACCAATTTCCATTCTTTCGGCACCCAGAGGGATTTTGTTTGCCTCTCCAACAATGGCGGATAAAGTCCATGGAGCCTGAGATGCTTGTGAGTTTTCATTGGGGTGATAATCATCTGAGCTGATATATAAAGAGCAATTGCTGCATAACTTTACATTAAGCCTGCTGACATTGCCATTTAGGTTCTTGAGGCGATCACAGCCACAAGGTGATAATATGTCAGGCAAAACTGGATACTTTTGTCCAAGAAGTTCATAGAAGGGCTCCTCCACGGTTCTGATGGCAGTCTCACCATGAGGTGCTCTCACCTTGTCATCAGTGTCCTGCATCAACATCTGTTCTATGTAGCTGAGAGTTACATCAGAGTCGGTCTTTGGGTGCTCCACCACACTGATTAGGCGCCAACCAGCTGATTGGTCATCACAGCTGACATTGCAAAATTGGGGACCAATCTTGTTGGAAACAATTGACACTGCAGGAGAGTGGCTCAAAGGGGTTGGTGGATGCAAAACAAACTCTGAATCATTGTACTTGGTGGTGCTTGACTCGATGGGGTCCTGAGAACTATAGGCGCCACAGACAGCCGTATTTGCCATGATGCCGTGAAAATCAGCCGAGCTGGGCTTGTCACTGGTACCCATGATTGATTTTACGATGCTCATTCACACAATCTTTGCAATGTGCCTGGCTGCACTTTGCTCCACATTTTCCTGGATTAAATGCAGTGTGAGCAGTTGACTAAGTATGTGAACAGCAGAATAACAAAAGGAGGAAGCTGAAATACACGTAATATTCCTCTAGCACATTAAACCAAAATTAATATGCGAGACATCGTGTGGTCATGCGGGTTAATGCTTTGGGAGTAGTCCGCATGTGGTTTGTTTGTGTCGGTTTTCACCCGGCTTTCTGTTAATTAACTTGGCAATTCTCTTCTGCTTAATTAATTGACGAGGAAAATCTTTTGCCTTTATTTTGAAAAAATAATAATATGAATGACATTGACATCTTTCCTGGGATTCATTGCAGTGATAGCAAATTCTTTATGACAAACACCTGGGTGAAGGGGGCGCGGGGATCCCCCCGAATATTTTAAGGATGTATATACGGGTTACTGTGCTAGAAATCATAGTATCTTCAGTTGATGGCCATGGAAAAATCATAACCAGACATCATGGCTAGCTACTTACTATTGATTAAGAGACTGCTCAGCAAAAACGGGAAGAGGAACTTACTATTGATTATTGCCTGCAGAGGATCGCACAAAATTCCACAGACGCTAGAATTCGCAGGACTGGTTGCCCGATGAGATTATGGACTTGAAATGAATTGCAAGCCAAGGGACCGACGCTGTCTGCCGGTGGAAAGAAGTGCAGCTTGATATATTTCAGTTGTGCTGAAATTGGTTAAGCTGTACTATTTCAGTTGTGCTGAGGGAAGCAAGAAGTACATGCCTGCCTGTTTTATGTGAGCCTCTGGTGAGTTTGCCGAGGTATGGGCATTGATGCTAGTGATCGAATTCATGGGTGTGATAACCTGTACGGATGCCGGAGGCAGAAACAAACAAGATTTGCAGATAAGCTAGCTAGGCGGCATTTTGGAGGCTAATGGACTGTGTCAAACTCCAATTAGGAGGGAAGAAAGGAGATTTGTTTATCGCAGTTGCGGAGGCTGGAGCCTTTGGATCCTCAGAGGGGTCTTTGTCTCTTCAGGTCCTTTTGTCCTTTGCCTCTCGGACTGTGTCCCCCGGCGCTGCAGATCACAGCTTGACTTTGACAGAGCCAAATGTGCAGAGAAGAGGACTTGATGTGCGCTGTTGCTTGCTCTTACTTGGGGTGAAAATCCTGATATGACCTTTGCGGGTCGGACACTGAAGCAACGGACTTGATATTCTAACCTTCACTGGTTGGACCTAACGTCCATGATGAAAATACTTGTCCTTGCCGTGTCAAGCTGGACATGGCAACATCGCTATGAGTGTGTTCTTCCTTCTTGAAGGTGTTATAATTCCGCATATGTTTCAAGCACTTTTAAAGCCCACTCCATTTTCATACTCCCCCCGTCACATATTAGTTGTCGCTGAAATGGATGTAATTAGACGTATTTCGGTGCTAGATAAATCCGTTTGATCGACAATTAATATGGGACGGGGGGAGTATGTCATTGCTGTTGGTGTTGCTACTTCCTGGTGTTCTGTACAAGATTCAGATGTACAGAGGCATATTTTGCAGAGCACCACAAAGCACAGTGCAGAACTGGATGCTCTTTTCATGGTGTTGATATAGCAATGTTGCAGATACGGCAAGGTCACAGTGCTCTGAGTTTGGAGTTTGATGGATTCCAAAGAGCTTTGCTAGCTGATTATATTACTGACTCTGGTTGTTTTCTGCCATATGGTCATGAGGCTGATGCTCTTTTGGTGATAATCAGTACATGGGGTGAAGGAATCTCATCATGGTTATCTAGTTGATCACCCAAGTGATATGTTATTTGCCAAGGTAACTGCAACTGTGCACATTATTCCATCTCTATTTCCCTTGCACGTGAAGACATATGGTTTCAGCATGTTTCTCAGTGGCCAAGCTCACTACTCCTATGAACGTTTTGTTCCTGACAAAATACATCTGCAATCGATGGCTGAGTACACTGCTTTTGAGAAGCCAAAGGACAGAATGAGCTGTCGGTTAGCCGGAAACGTGCAAGAGGAGCCCCTCGTTCAGGATTACAGCCTTCCAGGGTATTGTCAAGCTTATGTATTTTGCCATTCCTTATAGTTGATTTTTTTTTCTTTCTTCCTTCCACTATTTACCTACCTTGCTTCTGTGGTGAAAGAAATACCACTGACTTCTCTCAGCTTGTTGGACAATCGTTATCAACTTTTAAGGCTCCTTTATTCGCAGGATTCCCAAAATATAGGAATAGAAAAAACATAGGATTCCAATGTCATGGCCATATGAACCCTACAGGGTTTTTGTTTGCTTGATTGCTTCACAAGAAAAACGAAGGATATTTTTCAAGATATTAGAGTTGATGGTAAAATTTTATGGATTGTCGTACAAGAGAATCCTTAGGAAAAATTCCTGTAGGATTCAATCCTACTAATCAAACGAGCAACTAGTAAAAATTCCTAAGAATTCCAATACTTCAAAATTTCCTATGGTAATCCTTTGAATTAATGAGGCCTGTAAGATATTGGTAGATTGAGATAATCATTTGTAGTTAAATCAATATAAACATAGAAGTGTTGAAGAAAATTCAAGATAGTAGGCTACATTCAGATGCACCAAAATATGTTGATTATTACAAAATATGCAAATCCAAAGGCATTTGGGAGTTGAGAGTTGAGACAACACCTCACAAGCGACCACTTTGCTTGGTTAAACTGTCAAACACCGGTCTTTGTTGTGAAACTTCAAATATCATCAGTGCCTTCATTGTTAGACTCACTTGGCTTCCATGTGGATAATGCATAGACTATCCTTCCCTTCCAACCCAACACTAGGAATTGGTCTTCTTCGTCGACAAAAAGGTCTTTGTGATAAATCTGTCTCACAATATGTTGTATTCCTTGAACAATTTTTGGATTCAGTGGAAGCTGCTCAAACCTGGCCCTGAGGCTTCGCAACTTCCATGTCTTGTAACTCTCGGGCCTCTCAATCCTTTCTGATCCTTCACATGCAATGACATTGAGCATTTCATATTTATATATATCCCTCTCCAGGATTAATCTTGCCTCGTTATCTCGTGGAGTCGTTTTATCAAGCATATCAAACAGTGAAGCATAGTGGTGCATGACTTCCTTAAAACGTGATAAAAAGAAGGGGGTGTTGTAATATCCGTTAACAACTCCATGTATGAAAACTTTCGGCTTCATCATCTTTATGGTATTGAGCACTCTGTTCCTGGCGCTGTTGATGGATATTGTCTCATCAGCAATATTCTTCATTCGATTTATACAATTGACTATGAGCACTTCACCTTTGTTAATGTTCAAATCTTCAATGGAGATGGATTCCCACTTTGATGAGATCTGCCGGTATTTAAGAGGTACTTTGAACATGCCGGCATATTCAACTAATCGCAGCTGTGTGTTGTTCTTCCTTCCATCTGGCCAGAAACCGGGCATGGGCAGTTCTATACCTGTAATCCGAAGCTTAGGCGGCCCACCTTCCCTATCTGCTAATTGTTTCAATAATGATGGCCATTGAAAACCAAAGCAAATGCCAAAATCAATAATGTGCACTTGTGATTTTCCCTTTGAGACATCAAGGATGGTTTTGTTCGAGAAATAATATGATGATCTCAAGTAATGAGATACTGTGAAACAAAGATGGAATAGCTTTAGAATATATGCTGCACTCCTTGGTGTAGTGATGAAGTTCCGGTTTATCTGACTCCCATTTCCAGACAATCTTATCTCCAGGCAATCTGCTAGGTAGAACGCTAGCCTCTGGGTATCATCGCCACTTGGTGAAGAATGTTGTCTTATGCTTTTAAGTATGCCACTTGCTAAGCTATGGTTGTTCACAGATACTGCTTGTGCGCAATGTATAAGGAGAGTTCTGAGATCCACTACCTCTTTCTTCTTCCGTGCTTTACCTCTCGTTGTTTGCCTAGATGGTTTTCTTCCATGGTCTTTATGTGCATACTTGGTGTATGTATCTGCCATGGTTTGTTGCGAAATAATACCTTCACCTATGGGCTTCTGGTCAGAGCAAAGCAGAACCTTGTCGAACGCCTCATTTCGCGTCGGCTCATCGGAGGAAAAAGCAATCTGCTTGTTTCTCCTTCCTTCTAACAAATCAAGCTCTTCTATACCCGGATAAACTTTTCGACCTCGAACTTCAAATGATGCATCCTTCATTGTGTCTATGTCATTCATATGAGGTGAATGATAATCTCGGCTAGGCTTTTTGGCAATTGAAAGGCCATTGATGTTCAAACCAATTTCCATTCTTTCAGCACCCAGAGGGAATTGTTTTGCCTCTCCAACAATTGCAGATAAAGTCCACGGAGCCTGAGATGCTTGTGAGTTTTCATTGGGGTGATAATCATCTGAGCTGATATAAACAGAGCAATTGCAGCATAATTGTCCATCAAGCCTGCTGACATTGCCATTTAGGTTCTCTAGGCGACCACATCCACAAAGTGGTAGTAAGTAAGGCAAAACTGGATACTTTTGTCCAAGAAGTTCATAGAAGGACTCCTCCATGCTTCTAATGGCAGTCTCTCCATGAGGTGCTCTGACCTTGTCATCAATGTCCTGCATCAACATCTGTTCTATGTAGCTGAGAGTTACATCAGAGTCGGTCCGTGGGTGCTCCGCCACACTGGTTAGGCACCAACCAGCTGATGTGTCATCACAGCTGACATTGCAGAATTGGGGATCAATCTTGTTGGAAGCAATTGATAGTTCAGGATAGTAGCTCATAGGGTTTGGTGGATGCAAAATAAAGTCCGAATCATTGTACTTGGCAGTACTTGACTCGATGAAGTCTTCAGAACAATAGGCCCCGCAGCCAGCCGTGTTTGCCATGATGCCGTGAAAATCAGCCGTGCTGGGCTTGTCACTGGTGCCCATGATTGATTTTATGATACACTCATTCATATGATCTTTGCAGTGTGTCTGGATGCACTTTGCTCCACATTTTCCTGGATTAAATGCAGTGTGAACAGCTGACTAAGTATGTGAACAGCAGAATAACAAAACGAGGAAGCTGAAATACACAAAATATTCCTCTAGCACATCAAGGCGAGCTTTATCAGCACTGTCTAATGATTCACTGGACAGATCAGCATATGGTCATCTCTTGGCAGAAATCAAAGGTTTACTGGAGAATAGGGTGTTTGTTCGTGTTAAAGTTTCTCGTGATCAATACAAAGTTGCACATTGCTTAGCAAATTATGGTAGATCTGGGGATAGCACTGCGTGCTGGCTTAACCAATCCCCTCCTTTTATTTCTGAACTTGTTGCTAAGGATTGTAATTCTGTGAGTTTGGAATAAAACACCCTATTTCCATCGCAAAAAAAGCGAAATTAATATGAGAGACATTATGTGGTCATGTCGTTTCATGCTTTTGGAGTAATTCCACGTGTGGTCTATTTGTATCGGTTTTCACCTGATTTTCCGTTTATTAACTGGGCAATTCACTTTTGTTTAATACCACAGTCTAATCGACGAGGCAAATCTGTTTTGTAAAAATAGTGAAAACATTGACATCTTTCCTGGGATTCATTGGAGTGATACCAATTCTTTTTAACCAACACCCAGCCACCTGAGTATATTACTCAAAAGTGCCATTTCTGGTGTGGGTGATAGCAACTTTTGAGAACCTAAACAGGATGTATATACAGATCACTATGTTAGAAATCACAGTATCCTCAGTTCATGGCTATGGGAAAAAAATCGCAAGGGAGACATCACGCCAACCTACTTAAGTTTTTTCATGACATGTCAAAAGACTGATCATCAAAAGTGAGAAGATAGCTAGACTCACCATTGATTATTGCCTGCAGGGGATTACATAAATTTCCACAGACGCTAGAATTCGCAGGACTGGCTGATACTGTAGAGTATAGATGAAAGCAAGCCAAGTGGTGCGTCTGTGTGCAGCAGGATATAGTATTTCAGTTGTGATGAAACTGGCTAAGCTTTGATATATTTTAGCTGTGCTGAAACAGGCTAAGCTGTACGTACTATTTGGGTTGTGCTGAGGGAAGCAAGAAGAAGGGCATGCCTGCCCGTTTTATGGAGCCGCTGGTGTGGTGAGTTTACCTGTTTTAAATGGAAGCTAGCAGGCGGCACTTCGGAGGCTAATGACGTGATGGACGGTGTCATTACTCATCAGACGCCAATTAGGAGTGGAGGAAGGAGATTTGTTTATTGCAGTTGTGGAAGCTGGACCTTTGGATCCTCAGTGAGCTCTTTGTCTTCCTTTGGCAGTTTGGTTTCAAGGATGCTAAAAATAGTTTCAAGCGGCTCCTCTGCACATATATAATTTCAGAGGCTTGTTGTCGTGTGCAACTGCCGTCCGATGGTTGTCGCCCATCCTCGTCGCGCCCGGACTGGGTCTTCCCCCTGCGCCCTTCCACTGGCTTCCGCGCTGCAGATCAGATCACAGCTTGATTTTGACATGGGTTTGAAGGAGAAGTAAGCCACATGTGCAGAGAAGAGTGCTTGATGCGCGCTTCTCCTTGATCGTGCTCATGGATGGATTTATTTTTGTCGTAGCTAGTATGTGCTTACATTGTTGCTCGGTGGACTCAAACATATCACGTTATGTGATATATATACTGCACAGGGTACCTAGGTATATGAACGTTTTACGTGTAAAAGAAAAATATTCTCGGAAGATCTGTCATGGTGAATAGGACACTGCTTCATATTCAGGGTGAAAATCTGTCATATGACCTTTGCGGGTGCCACAAACTTGCATCCTTACTTTTTTGAAGGTGTTTTCCACTTATCGATATTCTGGCCTTCACTAGTTGGACCCGACATCCATGGTGAAAATACTTGTCATTGTGACCAGTTCGCGTCTGGAACCGCTCCTCTTACGAAACCAAAGCGGAGGCGGCGGCGCTCCAGATCCAAGGCGCCCGCTGGTGACTCCGCCGCTCCCCTTCCTCTCCGACAGCCATCTTGGCGCCGCGAGGGGGAGGGGAGCCCCAGTTTCTCAGTTGGCTGTTTAGTAGTCCTAGGTTTTCTAGGTTTTTCGAGTTTCCTTCGTCGGTGTCATGGTGGGGCTGATGCCGATGGTGCTCTTAGAAATAATGGTCTTCCAGCCCGTGCTCCTACTCGTTGGTGGTGTTGCTGGCACTGATGAGAGGCTCGTGGAGTCCAAGTTGTTCGAGCGGCTTTGATCCGGCGCTGCGTTTTGGCGTGATGGCGGGGATGGGCTGTTCTTGGAGTCGAGTGGTGATGGTTGTTGCAGATTTGCAGAAGACAGTATAGGATTCGGCCGCCTGTAGAAGGGAGGGTTGGTGTTCGCCCCGGATCCAGCGTTGAAGCGGCTCGGAGCCCTCCTCCGGCTGATGTTCTTTATCCGTCTAGATCCAGCATTTCGGGGTTGGTGGCTATCGTGGCTGGTTAACGCCTCATGGCTAGGGGTTTCTTCAACGTCAAGATGTAGACCAGCTTCTGGTGTTTTTCTTCTCCAGTGATGACGAAGACCGTGGGTGCTAGTTAGCTGCGGCCAAGGTGGTATGCGGCAGTACAACCGCTTGTTTCTTTATTGTTTTCTGTTGTTTGTATGCGTTTTATCTTTGTATCGTTACTATTATGAATACAAGTAATGTATGCCTACGGGCGTATATTTAAAAAAATGAAACAGCTAAATCACATCTAGATGTTTTCTAAGGATGTCACATCTAAGTTCTTAACCGTCAGATCTCGTTGTTATTTTCGTGCAGTTTTGATTTGCGTCCCTCCCGCGGGTCCTGCTTCGCTTGCGCACGTCGGTGTCGCTGTCGCTGGATCGTTGACGTTTTCTGTTAGTCCGGCCGCTCGTTGCATGGGCTGGCCTGTTTTTTGTTTTCTCTGGAACGCTTTTTTCGTGTTCTGTGTTTGTCTTTTTTCTGGTTGCGTTGTAAGAATTCAAAGAGGTTTACTGGCCATACATTCCACGCCTCAATTTTTGTTGTCCCATTTTTATCTTCTTTTCTCCATATTTGTTCTTTTTATTTTCCAATTCATGATTTTTTAGTATGTGAACACTTTTTGAAGTGTGCAAACACTTATTAAAATTCATGAATTTTTTTTGTGAAAAGTTTTAAATCTTGTGCTTTTAAATTCATGAATATTTTTATAATATTTGAACAGTTTTCAAATCAAATTTGCTAAATCTCATGAAGATTTTAACAATGCTTTATCTAAGTTGTGGTCCGTTCGATTTATTTCTTGTAATCTTTTGCACAATTTTGGACCCGTTCTTTTTTGTGTCGTGCATCCTACGTCGTCCCGATGTCCAGTTGTCAATCGGTTTTTTGTTAGGTTCTGATCGTTTGTTATTGGCCTGCTTCGTAGATCCAGAAGAGACATGGTTCTATATTCGTTGTCACTTTGATCACCCTCAACTCAGCAAGTCCGTCAATGAAATGCAATTGGGTAGTGATCTTTTTTTTTGCCCTAGTTGCAAGTACACCCTTGACTCGCAACTGGGCTCGTAGTTTGTACTTTGTCCTAGTTGCAAGTCCACTCTCGGCTCGCAACTCGTATCATAGTTTTGTATAGTTATCCCAGTTGCAAGTCCACCCTCGACTACCAACTAGACAAGTTGTTTGTTTCATCCCAGTTGCAAGCACGCCTTTGACTCGCAACCGGACCTGTGTTTTGTTTTTCATCCTAGTTGCACATCCACGCTTGACTGGCAACTAGGTCAGCAGTTTTCGTCTCCGTTCCAAATCGACCTTTGACTCGGAATCGGGCTTCTATTTCGTATTTGTCCTAGTTACAAGTCCACCATCGACTTGCAACGGGGATCATAGTTCTCCCAGTTGCAGGCCCACCATCGACTTGTAACTGGGCTCGTAGTTGTCCTAGTTGCAAGGCCACCATCAACTTGCAACTGGCTATGTGTTTGCTTTTCATCCCATTTGTAATTCCACCCTTGACTCAGAACTAGGGTCATAGTTTGTTTCATCCCAATTGCAAGTCCACCTTGAGTCACAACTTGGCTCGTAGTTTCGTAGTTTTCATAGTTGCAAGTCCATCCTCGACTCGCAAGTAGGCTTGTAGTTGTCCCAGTTGCAAGTCCACCCTCAACTCGCAACTAGGCTCGTAGTTAGTTGTTATCCCAGTTGCAAGTCCACCCTCGACTCACAACTAGGTTTAGTTGTTATTGTCCCGGTTGGAAATGCACCCTCAACTCACAAATGGTATTGTAGTTTTGTGTAGTTGTCCCAGTTACATGTCCACCCTTGACTCGCAAATGGGCATGTAGGTTGTTTTGTCCTGGTTGTGTTTTGTTTTTAATCCCAGTCGCGGGTTCGCCCTTCACTCGCAACTGGGCTAGTAGTTTGTTCATCCCTTTTGCAGGTGACGTTTGACTCACAATTGGGCTTGTAGTTTTGTAATTTCCTAATTGCTATAAGATTTGTGTGAATTGTTTGTCTCGTATTTCTCTGTTTTTCTAGGCACGGATGTGTTACGTTTGTTCTCTGGGCCGCATGCGTTGTGGTTACTTATATGGGCCGCGTTGAGGCAATTTCCCATTTGTTTCTCTGGATGTGAATTATTTTTCTTTTTCAACGAAGTCACACCGCGACTAGTTGAAGGTCAATGAAGCATTCTATAGGTGCGTACATGTGACCTCTCCTATTTATCTCCAAAACGTTGTTTGTTTTTTCTTTCCCTTTTCTTTTTGCTTTTTCTTTTTCCTATTTCATTATTCATTTTAACTTAATAAGCTACTTTAAAATCATGAATTTTTTTGTTCTCTACTTATATTTTCTATTTTTTTCCTTTCCATTTTTCTTCTTATGTTCTGCTTTTTATTTTTATTTGTTTTAATTACATGAACTTTTTCTACTCTGTCATTTGTTGTTTGCTTTACATGTCGTGCAAATTTTGATCACGGGTT